AAGTGGCTCATGTCCAAGGCGAGTACCTGCCGCCTGGATCACGAGAGGCAGGGGCTCAGATGAACACGCCGGCTGGAATGCCGTGAGTGAGGATAGCGCATGAGGCAACGCGCCAGTGAAAAGTTGCCAAGACAGGCGCCGATATCTTTGTGTTGTGGCCAGTCAAATCTACTTGATGCTGCTGAGAAAGGGCTCAGCTCTGGGTGTTGGATCATTGTTGCACGTACTCCTCGATGCAAGGTCGCGGTAAAATATTAGTTGAGTGCTCGGGAGGAACGGGTTGAAGTACGCCGAACACCCTACAAGTCATGGCAAATCTCCCCTTTGTAGCAGAGCCTATCCGAGACGGTGCATCTGTATCAATATGAAATCGCACACTCTTAACGGCGGTTTCAAATTCAATGAAACACAATAAGTAGCCCGCAAAGTGTGTATGAAATTTGCGAATTACGAATTGCACGGCTTACTGTATTTCATTCGAATGTGAAACTGCAGTCAGACGTGCGCGGTATGGTTCGGCCTTGGGAGAGTTTGTCAGGCGACTCCTCGTCCTGTTCCTCACTGCTGGCCGAGGCGTCGCGGTTGACCTGAGCATGGTGCCAGCAGGCGTTTCGCGTCTCAGGATGTGCGGCCAGCCAGCGGCGCTGCCGGCGGGCCGCCGCCCTGGGTCCCCTTCGGCAAGAGCATCTCGACGGCGCACAAGGCCGAACATAACTTCAGGTGAGCTCACTACTGGCACTGGGATGACTGGGACTCGTGGGACAATGTGTTGAAGGGAAGGCGCATGGCGGTGCATTATGAGGTGGCGAGCTTGGTGGACTTCGCTGGTTTGACGAAATTGCGTGGTCTTGCGTTGGCCACACATTTTCGGTAGCTGTGTTACATCAGTCAGAGCAAATCGAGGAGTGATATGGTGCCCACAGCCGCCTTGGAACATGTTGGCAAACACGTTGGTCGTTGGTCATGTTTTTTTTCTGTATGCCTATGGTCATTGAAATCAAACCACGTCGTGGCTTACCGTGCCACAGTACGCCAGGTGGTTGTGAACAGACTTCACGTGCTGTCCAGTACCTGCGCAGCCCAGCGCCGTGCGCGCGTGCTCCGCCGACTTGGCGTGACGTGACGTGACCTGACCTAACCTGACCGTCAGTCACTGGCGGGCGGGGAGGAGGTGCCGGTGGACGCCGAGTTCGAGGCGCAGCGGCGCGCGCAGGTCGCCCAGCTGGCCAACGTCGGCCGAAAACAGTTCGGCGGCGGCACCAAACAGGTGAGGCCAGCCGCCTGCGGCACGCGGCTGACCGAGCAGGGCCGGTCTCGTCGGCCGTTGTAGGGAGCCGCAGAAGCTGACGGCCGTAGGTACCGGGCCTGCACAAGCGCTCGTGCTGGGAGATACGAAGAGTTAGGCAGGGCCGGCGACGCTTTCCAAAAAATGTGCGCATCACTTTTAAATCGGTGGCTGGCAACTGACGTCAGCAGCACGCCAAGCCGAGCGGTCCGGGAGTCCCGTGTTTCCCGGTTTTTCGTTAGCGGTGATAAGTCGCTGAACCCGCTGATTGGCAGCGTGCATTGCGCGTTGTCGAGCCGCCACCAGCATCGTTCGCGTGATAACTCTGTGATTAGTATGCATATCAAGAAGCTCATGAAACGACGCCGTGCAGCCGCACGGCGTCGCCTCTGCTGCTTCGTGCAAGGTGTGCCGCGTCCTGGCTTGGGCTTCACTCGCTCTGCTACGGCCGTTGCATGTGTGAACGCTCAGCCGGCAATGTACCGTCAAGCCCCGGCATCATGGTCGTCACGTGATGTGTCGCCGTCAACGCTGCCGTTACCGCCATCAACTGCTGTCATCGACGTCATTATGACAGCGCCGGGGCCGCTGCTGTCATGATGAGCAGAGCAACAGCAGCATTAATGTCATGGCCAAAGCGATCACCATCACTAGTACGTCGAGCCACCGTCATCGTCAGAACCCGAAGTACCGCCGCAACCAACACACAGCCACTACCGTGACCACCGTGGCAGCCATCGCCGCCGTCGTAATCACCATCGTGCCTTCCCTCTGCCGGGCGCAGATGACTGACGGCAACCTGCAGACGCTGATGGGTGCCGGCTTCAGCCAGGAGGAGTCCGAGGCCGCGCTCAAGTACACCTGCAACGACGTGGGTCGTGCCCTGCATAACCTGCAGGTGAGGTGGGCGGGCGCCGCTCAACGGAGGTCCGACCGGGCCGCGTCCGGTGCCTCCCGGCGACGCGAGCGTAACTGGCGCGCCGCCGCCTCTGTTTGTTATGCTCTGGCGACGGACCGCCGTTAGGAGTGTGCTACGGGGTTCTACGCATGGCTGCCCGTGTGTGCACGTGGCATGTCATGACATTGCCCAGTTGAGATGTTTCCAATAAGGCCATGCTAGTGCACAGAACGACTGATTTATTGACAGAGCGTGCGTTTGCCCTGACTCCGCTCCAGCTCGCATGATGCTGTTACAAAGGTGTCTTTTGCGTGTTCATCTGCTTGCACTGTCATGCGGGAATGTTTGCCTTAGCAGAAGCCCACTCGCCCGCTAAAACCGATGTAACTGGCAACTCCAGCCGCTCGTGACTCACACCGGCGTCATTCACCACTTCGTCCGTTCCTCATCCGCGCCATCGGCGTGACCTGTGCGCATGTCGATCGGCAGCGGTTCCGCGCACGCCAGGAGGGCCGCGACGGCGCTGACGGCGACACGGACCGCGGCCGCGGCCGCGGGCGGGGCGGCGGCCGGGGCCGCGGCGGCCGGTTCGACGACGGCGAGCCGCGTAGCGGCGGCGACGGCCGGCGCGGGCGCCGACGCTTCGATGAGAACGAGGAGCCGTCCAGCCGGCCTTGCGAGCCCGTCACCCTGCTCGACGTTGTTGGCCTGAAGATCGGCACCGCGCCGAGCGGTACGTTGGCGCTGGCGGCCGGGCGCTTAGAGTTGCGCCGAATGTGGTTAGGTTATTTAACGGCGCGTGTGGCTGAGAGCCGCAAAGGTTGTTGGCGGGCCTGAGGCGACAAGGGGGGGGGGGGGGTTGGAGGATGCGGACGGGTGGGTGTTGATATCGGGTTTGACTCGGTTTTTTTTGTCTAAGACCTCCGTTATCGGACCACGTGCGCTTTCGTTGGGTGTAGTTTCCATATGTTCTAATCATTTTTTTTTACATTGAGTTGTGTAGCTGCGCCCGGTATAAAAGGCTGATCGAATCAGTTAGACCTGGTGCGAATCCAGGCATGCCGTCATTGGCTCCCCATAGTGTCTGCTTGCCACCGCTGTTTTGAAGCTTTTGACCCCCCCCCCCGTTTTGAGCCCTTTTGGCGTGTCTTGCTCATTGTCTTTTATCCTTACCTGCCCCACTTATCGCCGCCCTGATGGCACCCCTCCCTCCCTAGCACCTGCCGAGGTGGGTGATCGGGCGCCTCCACCCGACCGCCAGCTCCCTGACAGCGGCGGCGGCGGCGGCCGGCTGAACTACGGCGGCTCATCGCGCGGCCGCGGCGGCCGGCATTCGGTCCGCCCCACCGGCTCTGACGAGTTCGTGGAGGGCCGTCGGGCGCGTGAGCGGCGCCAGGGCGGCGGCGGCGGACCGGGGGGCGCCGGTGGCCGCTCGGACGACCGGCAACAGTGGCCGGAACTGCCGCAACAGACGGCCGCCGAACCGGCGCCCACCGGCGAGCGCCAGGCTCGGTCCCAGCCGGCGGTCGCCTCCTCGTCTCAGCACCGGTACTCGGAAGAGGAGATGTGCCTCGCGAAGTACTGGGAGGACGGACAGGTGTGTGGAGGTGATGATGGTGTTCCGGGTGGCGGTGCCCGTGACTGAGGGGGCGGGGTTTCTTTTCATGTCGACACCACTAGTTTGCGTTGTAGCTGTTCTGTTTTCTCGTTTTTGGTATGCTGCCATATGTTTGCTCAAGCGAGTCGGTCAGCCTACGCGATCAAAACCTTGAAAGTGCCCTGGGATAGTACTCAAGTGCAAAGAAAACGCACAATTAGTGTGTGGAGGCGAATTTTCGCTAGCTACCAGCGGGATAATGTGCGTATCATGATGCATATTAGCGTTTTGTGATGCCTGGCTGACACGATTGGCCAGATTTCGCCCCTCGTGACGATCTATGGAGCTATGGTATCCAACGCCATGGGCACCGCTTCCTCACCGCCACTGCCATCCACAGATGTACCTGGCTTGTGTGATATCTGAGGGCGACCAGACCTGTGTGGTGAATTTCGTCGACTACGGCGAACACTACGAGGAGGTGCACCTGTCTAATATGCGACCTCTGGGCTTTGTGAGTACCATGTGGCGCGATGCTTGGTGTGTCAGGCGCGTGCTTCACCAGTTGGACGTTTGTTTGCGGCAGTTTGCGTGTGTTCACGGTTTGTCTACAGTTCAAAACGTTACAAGGTGTTTAAGCTGTCGGCTGCGACGTGATCTCTGGTAGGCGGTTGAGAGCGAGATCAGACGTCGGTCAAATTGTACGTTTTTACTTTGCAGGCCATCAGTTAACGACCGGTCGTTACGTCATGCCGAATCATTGACTTTGTTCACGGGTTACGGTAGGGGGGCGTAGTGTGGATGTGCGGGAATGCGCGACACCCGCGCGGAGGGACGCGCGCCATGTGGCACCGTGGACGCGCGCCATGTGGCACCGTGGACGCGCGCCATGTGGTCCGCGCCGCGTCACGCCCGTCCGCCGCCGCCGCCAGGAGTCGGAGGCGAAGGAGGAGCCGGCCCGCCAGCCCCTCTCGCGGCCCACCTACGACGAGGAGCCAGAGGAGACATCTGCCCTCTTCAGTCACGGTGGCCGGAGCGGAGGCATGCGTGAGGCGCGGGACGTGCAGGGCTATAGTGCGGCGCCGCGCGGCGGCAGCGGCGGCGGCGGCGGCGGCGGCGGCGGCGGCGGCGGCGGCGGCGGCGGCGGCGGCGGCGGCGGCGGCGGCGGCGGCGGCGGCGGCGGCGGCGGCGGCGGCGGCGGCGGCGGCGGCGGCGGCGGTGGCTACGGCCACGCACATGGCGACGGTGGCGGCGTCTACAGGAACGGGCCGCGGGGCGGCGCCATTGGGCGGGGACGAGGAGGACGCGGCTTCCGCGGTGGCGGCCGGGGCCAGAGGCAGTGGGAGGAGGATGGCCAGGCCAGCCGAGGTTATCAAGGAGGCGGCCGAGGACGGCAGCAGTGGGACGATAACGTACCCCCTCGTCTTCGGAACCGAGGCGGCGGCCGAGGGCAACGGCAGTATGAGGACAATGGCCCGCCCCGAAATGATTCCCGGGGCGGCGGCAGAAGTCCGCGGCAGTTTGAGCAGAACTCGTACAGCAACGGGCCGCGAAGAGGCGGACATCGCCACTGGGAGGAGGACTTGTTCAGAGACGGTTTCCGAGGCGGCGGCAGGGGACAGGGACGTTGGGAGAACAACGCGTCTTTCGGAGCCAACTCGCGAGGGCGAGGCAGGGGTCCACCTCCCGATCTGGGTGACACTCCATTCAGAGGTGAGTGTCACGGAAGTCACGTGACGTGTGACGGGATGGCAAGGGCTCTGAAGACGGGACGGCGTGCTGGCGCGTGGTGTCGGCGCACGGGTCTCGCGAGACTTCGCGTACCACTGAGATGTTTCGAAACTAGCTTTGAAGTGGTTGGGCTGTGTAAGCCTCTGCTCTATGGGAATGGTATGGTTTGCCACAAGCTGATCGCGAGACGAAGTAAACCATGCAGGTGTTAATCCGGAGACGTGTGTTATAAAATGGATGCCGCCACCGGCCGATGCTTCTAAATTTAGTTCACCTGCCACTTCGTCAGGATCTGAATAGATTGGCGGGGTCTGCATGTGGGATCTGGAGGATCATGAATTGGTCACCATTCCGCCGTACATGCCAAAACAAGTCAAAGCAACTAAAAACTATCGGCCGTCGTTGAAATGTTGGTGGCCTGTGAGGGACTCGGCACAGCATCCGTTCATTGTTAACGCGGACCGCCGTCCTTCGTCAGCCCCGCGGCGCTCACGCCGTCGGCTCTGTTCCAGGATCGATGGAGTTTCGGCGCGGCGGTCGTAGACCGATCACCCGGTACGGCGGTGGCGGCAGTTAGCGACCGGGGTCAGGCCGCTGTCCCACCCCCTGCCGAGGCTCCGCTCGCCCGCCTGTCACTGCCGCCCGCTCTGGCCACCTGGTGCCGGCCGGAGGTCGGGCCGCTTTACTACACGGCTGTTATTGAAATACACTAATGTGAGTGCTCACAGCGAGTGTGTTGGTTCGGCGGCGCGTGGCGAGGCTTGCGTTCTGCTCGGCTGGGGTGCCGGAGCCCCGAGCGACGGGGTGGGGCTGCCCGGTGGGCTCGTGCCGTTGATCGCAGCCGGACCCCAGCTTGACGGACCGCCTCTGACGTCTGCTGACGCCAACACCCTCCCCTCATGGGTCTGCCTGAGATCGGGTGTAGGTCCCGGTACAGTGACTGAACGCAGGGCTCCCGGTAGGGTCCTCGCGTTGCCGTCGATGTGAGTCGAATGAGAGAGCCCGTGGGTTGCAAGATCTGTTTCACACCGATGCCGAGTGTCTAGGGGAGAGCCCGCGCGTTGGAAGAACTGTTTCACACCGATGCCGAGAGTGTCTAGGGGAGAGCTCGCGCGTTAGAAGAACCGTTTCACACCGATGCCGAGAGTGTCTAGGGGAGAGCCCGCGCGTTGGAAGAACGGGTTCGCCCCGATGCCGAGTGTCTACGGGAGAGCCCGCTTCTGAAGACCAGACATGAGTCGAAGCCGAAGGCCCGCAACACAGCGCTGTTGTGCATGGGCCATGACGCGCACAAGAGATCGATTTGGTTACCGGGCAGGTGTCCGGCGCGTGCTGACAGTCCCCCCTCCCCCCCCCCTCCAGTTGGCCGCCGTCCGGCAGTAGCCAGCTTTACAGCGTAACCAGCGCGTCCTAGCGCGGCAGTCTCGTAGTCGGATCGACGCAGAGGCGGTATGGTGTGGAGTCACCTAGCTCCACTGAGGCCCGGGGTGTTCAACCAGAAACGCTGAGCATGCGCCGCGGAGACGGGGGTGATGCTGGCATGATCAATATATCCGGAGCAACGTCGGATTTAGCTGTTGTGTTTGTTTCGAGGCTGGAGCCTGAATGCTCATCGAGCGGCGTCGCCTCCTACGAAACTTAACTTGGCTTGAGGTGCATATCGTTTATCCCGACTTACACTGAATCCGGATCCGCCAGCGGCGCACAGTAACACGGCGTCTCCACCGGCGCTGTGATGCTCAACTGGGCCCGCGCCGTCATCGGAAAACAATAACCCTGTGGCGTCGCGCTCAGAAAACCCATGTTCAGCCACATCAACGGAAGCGGATGCAGGTTGCGCCTCTCTGCGTGTGGAGAGCAAGGTTCTCGCGCGTTACTCTTTCCCCGCCACGGCAGTTCAGACTGAAACACTGGAAGCGAGTCTGCTGATCTGCCGCGGTGCTTAAATCTCGCAGCGTAAATAATAAAGCCACTTTACATCACGCGCGTACCTTGGAGCGGTAGGTACTTTGACATCCAACGGCAATACAAAAGCACTTACTCTGTAAATAGTGTAATGGCGCTCGGTAGCGTCCTGCCTACTGAAACCGCTCAGTTCGCAGGCTGCAGACCATCGGCAGACCGACCTCGTCAGATTGACTGCTTAACGATAGCAGCACGCTATCATGGTGCTATTTCCGAGCAGTCAATAGCACCATGATGGCGTGCTGCTATCGTTATCTTGTAGACAATGGTATGTTTAGTCTACTTTTGATAAGGATCCAATTTTTTCGACGTAACTTAGGCACTGCCTAGAGCTTAGCTTAGGGTGAAAATAAATATCCCGACCTGTTGCCGAGTGCCGATGCCCGTTTTTGTGCCACAATACATGGCCGCTTCCGCGCCTTGTTGATGTCTGCCTTGTAATTTGCGCTAGTACTGTGGCACAGCGAGCCCAGACTGGGCCACCCTTACATGGGTACGGTATAGACTTGCTGTATAGACTTGCTGAGTGAAACAAGAAAGCTTCAGATGGCCAGAAAACTTAACGGCCGCAATCACAAATGTAGGCCAAGAATATAGTGCTGCCATTGTGCGACTCGCTTCCGGTCATGCGATGATCAGTAAAAAACAAGCGCGAAACTGGCGCCGAGAACATACCCAAGCGAATCGTATGAAGGCACAACAGATACGTCAACACGAGAAGCTGTGAACAGACCACACCCACCCCTTAATTCCCTCTTTCGAGACCTCTGGCCACCTCCACCGGGTGCGCCTCTGACCGCCTCTCAGCCGAGTCCTGGAGCCGCCCATGAACTGCTCCGCGACCCTCTCCCGGGCCTAGCCCACTTCAGAGCCAGGCGAGACCCACCTGCCTGGGGCAGCCGTGTAGCTGCGCAGTGCGGCCCGGGAGACGAGGCAGGGCGGCTGGCGGGCCCGCGTCCTCTCCACGGGCGCTCCTCAGCCGGACGGGCACTGGTCGCAGGTCCGGCGTCGAGGCGGGACCGGACCACGGCCGGCCGGGCGGAGGAGGACCGGCGGACCGGACCACCGCCGGCCGGGCGGAGGAGGACCGGCGGACCGCAATTGAGACCGGAGGGTCCAGCGCTGGGATGGGACCGGACCACCGCAGCTGAGACCGGAGGGGAACACCGCTGCGGCTCTGCACAGACCGAGTATGTGCGCTGACCGGACTTCGCCTGGCCGATATGATCGCGGACGGGTTAGTGTGACGCCGAACGTTCGGTTACGGCCATAGGGCTGCTGTGAATAGCATGCCATCGTAACTCAACCTTCAGCGCACATGACAGTAATGACGTCCAGCTGTCAATCTGTCAATCAAAGATGAGAACTGCCACAAACTGGTGACTGGGAACATGGGCCTGTAACCCACATAGAATAGTATTGGTATCTTGTCTGTTCACATTCTCTTAAGTATCTATATTTCCCTCTCCGTATAGTTGCGGGGCTATGCCAGGGTATGTAGGTCCGAGCGTTTAAAGGTGGTTACAGCAAGACGAGCGGTAATTAGACTGCTTTTCCGCGTCAGCCTCGTTTTCGTAGACACACGCTGAGGACAATATGCGGTCTTTGTTGGCCTTAACCGATGTCACCGTTCTTGCCGCATTCATCGAACGAAGTCCCACGCTTCTTTTTCAGCGCTGGCCCAACCACAGCCATCGCGCACTGCGGCCGGAGACCACGAATCCCAGACCACTAGCAGCATCCCTGCGATCACAGCAGTCACTACGACGTCGCTGGGTCTGGCGGTCGAGACGCGGCCGCCACACCTGACGTGGGACGTCCGCGAGCATCACACGAGTTCACCGCCACCCGTCGGCAAGGCGGCCGCACTGCCGGAGGTGACGGCCAGCGGCGGACGACAGTGGGAGGCGGCCATGATCGAGTGGGCGTGGACCGCCGGGTCGGCGGTCTCCCGACGGGCAGGTTCGGACGGGCCGCGTGGAACTGACCGCCGTCGCAGAGCCGGCGCCGGCTGGCAGACGCGCTGCCAATTCAGCGTAGTAGTGGTGAGACAAACCGGGACAGAACGGCGTCCGAAGAGCAGCCTCAGGAAACACGGGCTTCTCAGGAGAAACAGGTTCCTCAGGAGAGACAGGCTCCTCAGGAGAGACAGGTTCCTCAGGAAAGACAGGCTCCTCAGGGGAAACAGTCTCCTCATGAGTCAACTCCAGAGGAGCCGCTAGAGACGCCCGACTTGCAACATCTCGCGGCCGTGCCCCAGCACCTGATGGACATGGTTATGGTCGAGATGGGCCCGAGGGTGACTCTGGCGGAGGGCCGGAGCAGACTGTAGCCGGCAACAGTCGCGCCCCGCCACCGGGAGCCCTCCGCGGCGCCCAAGCAGCGCTCATGGCACGTTACTGTTGGTTCCTTTGGAGGCGGAGTCTTGTAATGACGTTTTCATTTATTATCCAGCGCATCGCCTCAGATGACTAAAATGAGTGTTGGGTGTTTGAAGCGCATGTCCTTGCGACGGAAGTGATGGTATTTTGTTGGCTATATTCTAGACCCAATCGAATCTCACAGAACGTGAGGAAAAAAAAGCAGTGCCGACGCGGACTCGTGCGATCTTTTAGCTTCAAGTCATTTGGTCCGATATCCTTTGTCAAACTAAACGTCAAGTGATTCGCTTTGCTTTCTTTACACTTATCCTCCAAAAACAGATGATCCGCACGCCCGTTTGGTTTCGAGCAGAATATTCACCCTATACGTTCACGCATGGGATGCGTTTGTTTATTGCCACTTGTGTGCATCCATGACATCAGATAAGGTGACACACCAGAAACAACACGGCGGAGTCATCACATGGTCACGTGACTGGCGAGCACGTCACTGAGACACGGCCCAAGCTGGGCATCCATCCCTCTGGCCAATGCAGAACCGTCTTCATAAGCCCTCTGCCGTGCAAAGGTAAAGCCGCGTATGTCATTTTTTGGCCAAAAAAGGCTTTTTTATATCGTTCGATTGCCCAAAACAAGCTGCATCTGATGGTTCTCTCACTTATACTGTTGGACGTTTTTTGTGAAGTTATTTCGTGAGTGATTTTGAGAAAAAACGTATGTTATACAAATTCGCTAAGATGCAAAGGTAGAAACACGCATGTCCCAACTAGTGACAAAACGCGCATCTTTGGACGTGCCTGTTTCTATCTTTGCATGCGGTGCAACAGCTTGACATACGTGCTTTTGACTGGGATCTCCGGGACGCGAGTGCCTCAAGATAGCGCTGCTCAAGCTATATACACGCACGCTAACCGCGGTACTGTAGTAAATCAACGCTTAAATAAATTCGTAGCATTGCCGCCACGATCGCAGCGGGAGTGAAGTGTCCACAAGATGTAAAGCTATTTTACGATTTGTTGTCTTCGTCTGCCGAGTCCTTCAACGTAAGCGACTCAACAGTCGCGAAATAGCTGGATGCACTATGAAGCCCCATAAAGGGCAAATACCGTGTGCGTATCGAAGAGTAGTTGGCGGAAGACTGCATGTACTCGTGCAGTGGGAGGACCAGAGCAAGGGGCAGTCTCACTATGCCTTAAAAAGATGCCACTGTGGTGGGTCAGCCGTCACTATGCTACACCGCAAGAAGCTATGGTCAGGAGGCCTAGTCTATAAGCCTCCGAGGAGTGCAGGACTAGTGCAAGGCGAGTTCTTTTCAATTAAAAGTGTTATTAACGAACGAGGTGTAATGAAACTACCCGAAAGACAAACAAAACTAACAGTAGCAACCACAAATTTGAGGGTTCGTCCCGCACCAGACAGAACATGCCCTGGCGCCATCTTCACACGGTCATGTGCTCGTGAAAAAATCAGTATGAAGAATATAAGCAGAAATGGTTTAAATCATGAACTCCATCGCAGTAAGCAGCTTCATGTTTGAGAAGCCCATCCCAAGTATAATTGACAAGCCGGCCACATTTATGCTAAGCCACCGAGTCTTACGCACTGGCATAGTAGCCGCGCAAGGTCACGTCAGGCGCCGGTTTGACACTGAAGGTGATGATAAAACCCTCGCTGCTGGTCTTTGGGACGCAAGGTTTGTATGTTTAATTTATACCGTACACAGGCTTTGCATTTACGGAGGAAATTACTCCCGTGCCAATTCGTGTGAGAATATTTTCGTTACGCTGAACCTCGGATGCGTCCGCCGAAATATTTAAACGATTTGTATGACCGTACACCGTACACCGTACACCGTACACCGTACACCGTACCGTACACTCCACTACGTTTGCTGAGACAATCTAAATATTATCGTGCGGCAGACAAGCGTAACATGATGAAAGGTTGCAGGGATCATAACGTTAACAAATTTTGCAGATGTCCCCGACCCGGCATTAAAACCATCCCGAGACATGAAAATCGGTCTCGACTCGGTCGCATCGGAGCAGGCTGAAGCGGCACGTCCAGACCCGGACCCGGTCGTCGTTACAACACCGGAGCAGCTGACGGCACAAGACATCATCGTGGCACTGCAGGAGTTGGCGGGTTGGGACATCATCGTCGCACCGCAGGAGTTCGCGGGTCCGGACATCATCGTGGCACTGCAGGAGTTGACGGGTTTGAACATCATCTCAACACCGGAGTATCTGACGGATTACAACTTCATCGCAACACCGAAGCAGTTGCTGGGCTTGGAAATCGTCGCAGCAACAGGGCAGTTTTTGGATCAGGACATTGCTGCGGCACCATGGGAACTGCCGTATCCAGACAACGTCCCGGCACCGGGGCGGCTGACGGACCAGGGCATCGTTGCGACACCCAGGCAGGTGACGGGTCCATACATCGTCGCAACACCGGTACGGCCGATGACGCTGCCGACAACGTCGGAGATCACCGTACACTCCAATGAGTGCTCCCTGCTTGATATATCCTCTTCCCTCGATCTGGAAGCGTCATCCGTACTAGAAATATCTCCTCTACTGGAGGCGCTCAACATGCTGAGCACCCCACCCGGACACACCACAAATCAGATGGCTCCTGTTCCATACGATGCTCCATCTTCTCCGCCTCCTCCGCCGAAAAGGACAAGGACATCACCAAGCAACGACAGGAGGCGCCTACCAAGAATGTACGCGCTCGAACAATGCACAACAAGACACCTCGTCATGCAGAAAAACATACGCTCCAGCCGGTGCCAGCAAGATGTCTTGAAAGTTGCAAGACCAGCTGTGCAGCCAAGATCGGACCTGAGTGACGGGCAGAAATCAACGGCGAGGTCTGCGCACTGGGGAGGGAAACATGACGGCAGTGGTACTGCACGTACGTCCTGCGGGTTCCGTCTCAGTGTCGCAGAAAAAACAACAGAGGGAACATGGACCCACGGAAAAACAACAGCTTCCAATGGACCCTTCCATCACCACCGGAGAAGAACGCAGGCGACACATCCACGAGCGACAACAAGAAACCTGTCGAAGTTTGCAAACCATTCTTCGTGTCCACGCTGGGCTTTCGAGAGAACTCCGACTAGGCAGTGATCACCGCCGTGAAGAACGGCGCCACCTATGCATCACCCCGTAATCATCGAGGCAAAAGCACGCCAAGTATAAAGGACGAAGACAAAATATCTCAACATATTATGTCCTCCAATCCAGTGAAACACCACTAACGGTATGAGCATGCTCCGCATCCTTTGTACCCCCCGCACGACGTAACAAAAGATGTACACAGACTACATGGAGGCAGCAAGCCGTGGTGAGGTGGAGGCCTGCTCACGGCAGAGGTACCGGCAGTCCGTGAGACGCCTCAACATCGGCGACACCCAACTCTCTGGCGACGAATGCTCGAAGTGTTTCCGTGCACATCCAACACGTCGCCAAAGTTCACGGTCGCCCTGATCGCGGAACCCGATCACCATGAAGATAGCTGCTTTTAGTGTTCGGCACACGATGACCACCTTCATGCTGCTAAGGAGAGCTGGGATTTGTACCGGGCCGACGCTGACCGACTGTGGAGGGATAGTGACGGCGGATATGATGAAAGTGACCTTACTGCCCATCATGCCGATAAAAGAGTGTATTTTCACATCCCGTCTGATTGCGTACAACGAAACATTCCCGGTGGTCATGCCGAGCAAGGAGATGAAAACTGCACGGCGTCATCTGCAACGGACCGACAGCGCCTGCGTGGTGTGGCACGAGGCGGCCGCGGGACGGTCGGCGGAGGAGGTGGCGGCCGCCTTCTACCTGCACCTAGACACCAGCTGCCGGAACAGAAAGGCGGTTACCATCTGGGCAGATAACCGCGCTGGGCAAAACAAGAACTGGGCGCTCATCAGTGCCATGCTCCAGCTCGTACACTCACCGCAGAACGCCATCACGACTGCCACCTTCAAGTTCCTCGAGCCAGGGCACACAGCGATGGCAGCTGACGCCATGCACCAGACCGTCTCACGGCAGCTAAAAGCAACCGAGAGGGTGGAAGATTTTTCGGACTATGTCACAGCAGTAGAGGCCACTGGTGGGAAGAGCGTGCTAATGTCTCCCGGAAACAATACGCGCCAAGCTGAAGATGGCATCAGTGGAGCGAAGCTGAAAAAACTGACTCCAGACAACGAGCGGCCATACGTTGGCTCAGCTAAAGTCCATCCAGGTCAGACGGGGTTCTGACCTCGTGTTTACAAACACAAACGTCAAAACAAGTGTCGTATAAAGCGTATGACTTAACAATACGACGTTCGACCCAACGAAGCAACCAGAGCTCAATCCGACATCGAAAATGACTGGTGCGCCTGGGAAGGTGCCCGAAGTGCTGCGCCATATCGCTCCGCATATGCCTGCCCACAAGAAAAGGTTCTGGGAAGACCTGGCAGGCCAGTCCAAACGAACAACAAACGTTTGGCAAGCGGAAGCACACAACCAAGTCGCCACAAGGTCGCAAGAAGCGCACAGTGCAGTGAAAAAAGCGAAGGTAGTTGGCCCTGCGGTGCTCAACTGGGCATGCCATGATGCTCATGTACGTCCGTAGGTTCAGAGGCAGTTTTGGGCGTTGGTCTTTACTTAATACGTTGTGATGTAACTGGGCTGTGGTCAACCTCCCGTCCGTCTCCGGTAGCGTGCGCCGCGGCAGATGCCGCTACGCAAGTTTCGCCGTCGACATTGTTTCTGTTTGCATGTTCTCGTAAAAGAAGTTCACACAAAATGTTTCGAATAAAAGACATGGTTCTGAGTCGTGCAAAACTGGTGTTTCATCTGTGAAACTGATGTGTCATACACGGCCAGTCATGCAAAACTGTTGAGAACGTGCAGCAAGGGCCACACTATGAATACTTCGCTCTGCATGACAACGTGCTTGCATAGGGACATACGTGTTTTTGCTCATGCATTTCAAAGTGCTGGTGCATTAAACAGTGTGCATCTATTGGCGGCAAAAACACGTATGTCATCCGCTAGTGACATACGTGTTTTTGTCTACGGTACTCGGCTCAGGAAAACGCGATATACGTGTTTTGCCATGCTCGGGAGTGACATACGTGTTTTACCTTTGCAATAAGCAAATTTGGTTGGATAAATTTCGCCCTAGTAAAAAAAAACGTTTGTGAACTGTGGAAAATGTGTTGCGCAATGCTGTGAGAGATAAGCTCCATTCAATGCGGTATCGACAGGAGGTTCCAATGGTATAATTTTTGAATCAATACGAGATTTGCGACGTGAGCTATCGCACTAAACAGAAAATGGCCTCTTCTGAACATTTTGTTTGCGAGACAACGTGACATACGTGGTTTTACCTTTGCACGGCAGCCCGGGTATGCAAGCTGAGTTTATTTGTTACATAAAGCACCCAGCACCCCTCTGATCACACCAGGATACCAATCAGGGCCGCCGCGTCGTTACCAGGCGCAGTGTGATCACAGTGGGGCGATCCCACAGTCACCTGCCCATCATCCCACAGATACTCCGCTGTCTGAACAATCACCGAGCTGGAGCAGTCACCCGCCGCGGTCACACACTACCCAGGGTCCCGACCGATGACCCGTGGGCTGGGACACGCAATCTTTGTGTCATACGCATGATTACGCAGCATTGGAGCCATACTCGCCCTACGTGGCTACCTCCCCGTCCGACTCACTCCCCCAATCCGCCATCCGAATCGGCCTTCATCCAACTCACCATCCCAACCTTCAACTCCCCCTCCCCCCCCCACCCCCCCCGCTGGCCCCCACGATGTGTGGCCACACACAGACCTTCATCACGCCCACACGCTTTGAGCGCAACCTAGCCCGCCGCGGTCTCTTTTCCCGTACTCCTCCGCCTTCGTCTACCCACGCACGTCCGCCGGCCGTGACAGCGACGCTACCAGTCACGTTAGCACCGACACTACCTCTCGAAGGTCAGCACCAGCTCCAGATGGTCCGTGTGCGGGAACAGATCGACGGGCGCGGCGCGTGTCAACCGGAAAGGCGGCGCCCGTCCATCCTGCCGACAGAGCGCTGCCAAGTTGGCCGCCGTGCGCGGGTGGTCCGGCTTGCAGGCGAATGTAGATGAGCCGCCGCAGCGGCGCCGCGGCCCGCAGCTGCTCCACCACCGGTGGCGCTGGCGCCAGAGGCGGTGGCCGTTACACGAGCCGGGCGGGCGGCCGGGTCACAGACCCGCCAGTGGCGGCGGTCCGCTGAGACCAACGGTCCGTCGGCATATACCGAAACACCGATCACATCAATGACCAGGGCCGATCAGGCGTGGACAGCCACACGAGGTCGGCGGCGTCAGGTTGGGGGGGGGGGGGGGAGGGCAGCACGTGACTCAGCTGCTGTCTTCACGTGCACACCGCCGCGCTACCTGCGGCCCCGTCAGCGACAGCAGGGCATGTGAGGGTCCACACTTTGCAGTGATACGACGTTACGGCACAACGGTACGATCATCGCCGGCGGATACGATTCCAGCTGCCCATCCCCAACTTCACGCCTCGCACAGCACACGGAGCAGCGGCAACGGGTGCTTCACGCCTGCACAAGTCCCGCCTCGGCGGCCCCCAGCCCCGCCCCCGACCACTCACCTACTCCGTCTCGGCCCGGGTTGACGACAGCCACCATGTCGGAGCAGAGATCGAGATCCGCTACGACCGGTGACAACTCCTGGAATGTGGCCGCCCGCCAGTGAGCAACCGACAGGGAGTGCACGTCAGAACGGCGTCAGAGACCCGCATGCTAGATAACGTCACACACTGTCGTGAGGAGAAGCTCACTGATACATCAACGTTGATTGAACGAGACACACACAATCACTCATTCTTACACCAGTGATTGATTTCTGCGGGAGAAAATCGTGCACATCAGCAGCTACAAACAACGAGAATGCTGAAAATATAACGCGTAAACCCACATCATTGACATGTCAATTGAATAATTGAGGAGAATCGCGCTGGCCAACGAATTCGGACATGCACTCAATACGCATCGAGCCGGAGACATGGAAAGCTCGAAGAGGAATGGACCACGACGAAGAATCTGGCAACCCGTCTGGCACCCACCTTCTCTATCCGCCCCGCGATGAACTCGACGTTCTGTATGTTGTTCATCGCGGCATTCTCATTGGCGTCGCGCACGGCACTGCGCGAGGCCTCGATTCCGACGCAGGTGCGACAGTGGCGCGCCATCAGCAGACTGACCGGACCTGAGACGGGCAGGAGGGCGTTCACACGCGACACCGAAACATCAGCAGCGCGCGGAGGCGGCTAACCCAGGGCAACAGCATCCCGAGCTGACCAGCCTGCCGGTGTCGGCCGTCCAGCCGCGGGTTGCCGTGCTCCTGAAGCGGCTCGCATATGTTGCCGATCTACGTCTTAAGGCCATGCATATCGTCAAAAGCCATGGATACCCACCAGTCCGCGAAAAGAACACTGATATAGGCCTCTTTGCCCGTGGGAGGTGAAGCGCGCTTATCCTTGGCCTCCATGAGTCACGTCCTAGGGTGCTCCCACGGCCGCCATCTTCAACTCTGCACAACATCCAGCCGCGAGGCCTGCCAAACCATCGGGACGACACCCGCTCCCACAAACCAAAACCCACTGCGACCGCAGACAGAACCTGTGCACAGCACCCACTCTCACACCCCGCCTGACGCACCCAAGCGCATCACGTTCGGGATACCCCACCGGGCACACTGCCCCACCTCCACCTCTCATACGTGAAGTGCGGCACGGCGCCGCGTCGCGCCGCGTGGACCTGCCTGTGCCGGAGCAGAGGTCAAGCAGCACGGAGGCGGGGGTGAGGCGCGCCTGCCGCCGCACCACGCCGTACAGCACCTCGGCCGCCGCGCAGTTCACTTGGAAGAACGAATCGGGCGACACAAGGAAGCGTACGGGGCCGAGCCGGTCCTCGAGCACGCCCGGTCCGAACAGCGACTGGTACGGAGCCTGCTCCGCCGAACACCGTGCGTGAGGGCTGAAACGGAGCGGAGGTCACGGGGTCAGGGGTCTCCCGTCACCACACGTGAGGGGTGAGGCCGGACGCCCGACATGAAGACCTTCTGGGGAACAATTAAACAGGTGTGCACTAAGTCGCGGCTGCTTAAACTGTCCAACGCAAGCAAACGTCAACCACAAGCCTGAAGACGTGTCCTGCGTGGCTTCAGAGCTGCATTCTAACTCGCGTCCCCACCTCCCCCAGCACACAAGATCCGCATCGTAAGTGAGCGCTTCATACGATTAAATGGGAAAGTCGTCCGCTCACCCTCTCCGACCAGTCCTTCAGAACTCTCCCAGACCATCGGCGGACAGTCAGCGGACAGCCTGCCAGCTGTACATCCCCGGACATGCCGCGCATCAGTGCCAGCTCACCACTCCTGGAAAAGCAGCGAATGGAGACCGCAGGCGGCGCCCAGCCCGCTTGGAGAAATACTCGCGCAGCCTCTGGCGCTCTGCCTCGACGGCTGCCACCGGCAGCTGCTGCGGGTGAAAGGTGACGGCGGCCAGCAGCTGGTCGGCGCGGTTGCTGCGCACCATCAGCAGCCGCCAGTGGCCGCCGTCGTCCAGCCGGCTGCAGGCCGCCAGCGGTGACGTTCGTACGAAGTCCTGGAACGCCTGCGGCCGGGCGGAGGCGACGCTGTGTGGTGCGGGTGGCGCGGGCGCAGACAGGCACCGACGGACCGAGGCAGGCGGTAAGAGACTGGCGGTACTGACGCCGCGGGAGAGAAGGGGGGGGGGGGGGGGGGCAGGCGGCGCAGATGGAGCAGATGAGTGCAGTCGGACCAAAGAAGGTGAATGGATGGCAGGTGACTTCCATATGGAATTTATTTACTATGGGAACGGACAGGTATGGTATGCTTAGACAGATCATGCGCAAAAAGATATAGATGCCAAAATACCAAAAGATGCAGATGTAATCCCACGATGCAAAGTGATGCACAGAGGCCAAAACAAGTTTTAATTCACCCATCGGCGCTACCGTGGAACTTCTCAGGTAACGGAGCACCTGACAAGGCCAGCAGCACCAATACCCAACCATACATCCTGTTCTCACCCGCTGTCATCCATCACAACACGTAGCTCGGGGTAGGAACCGGCACAGAGCGTCTGCTGTGGGTAATGCCGCTTATAAAACGCTCCCGTTATTCTAGTCGCATCAGCCATTTTACGTGACGTGGTCACCCCCCAGGATGGCATGCAGCCGCAGCAGCAGTCTGATCGGCGCCGAGCGCTCACCAGCGCGAGCCGGGCGTGCTGCGGTTTGCAGTTCTTGAGCCGGTCCCCGGGGAGGCAGAGGGCCGGCCCGTGCGCCGGGCTGGAGAATATGAATCCCACCGTCTTCGGGTCGCCGTCCACGCCCTCGCCAATTTTGTACTCTTCCTTGTTTCTGTACCCGTCTACTTGCGGCTGCTGACGGAAGGCACACATAAGACATAGTTCTACGAAGAATTCATGTTCATCAACAGCCCAACACGAGCACGTTATGAATCGTGAGATTCTTCACGAACATGAGAGCATTCATGGTATCAATCAAACCGCGTTATGCTTTATAGAATAGCCATGTTATTCTCTTTGTTCTGGCCCTGATAGTCAAAGCACAAACACAGTGAACAAAAACTAAAAATGAAAGTATAACTTACCCCTCCCCCCCCCCCCCCTCCCACACCGGCACCGCCCGAGCCCCGCTCCTCACCGACGGCACAATCCTATCCAGCGGGAAGGGCAGCGCGTTCGACCCGCACCCGTTGGCTGGCGGGGCGCTGCCGACCAGCCGGCCAGCCAGCTGCCGTAGCAGCGCCCGCACGCGCGCCTGCTTCATCGTCAGCTGGCGGCCGTAATCGAGCCGCCAGAGCGGCGTCACCGTATCGGCAGCGCGCTCGTGCGCCTCGTGCGGCGCCACGCCCCAGAAGCGCGCCGCCGCACCGATGCCCTGCCAGGGGCATGGAGGGGTGCACAGTCAGGGTAGTGCCAGGAGTGGGTGGTGGGTGGCAGCACATGAATGGTGGGACATTGAGTAAGGACAGGGTGCTAATGAGAGCAATGAATGCTTGAATTTAGTCAGCTTAGAGCATGTCCTTGAGTATGCACAGTGTGCAAGGCAAAGCTAACTGTAAGTTAACCTGTACAAAATATAAGCTTCATGAGCACACAATCAGGAGAGCATAACTGACACACCCAACCACGACCAGCAATGCCTGCCATTCCCATGACATTCTGCTGGCATGTGTGCAAGGTAACATACTAAGGATGGTTTTTGGGAAATTGCCTTGTGATCCTTGGTATTCTTATCACTTTGAAAGCATCCACACCTGTGTTCTCCAACTATGACAACCTATGATTTCATTGTTCCTTACAACACAGATTAGTCAATGCTGTCATGCTGATACACTTAACCATACTGTGCAGCTGATCACAAAACTTGATATTCTTACCTCAAGTGCCATAGAACCATCAACCACTGATGTCTTGTCAGCTTCTTGGTCAGATAATACTTCCCGGAAAGGCTCCCATAGTGCCCCTGGGCTTCGTATGATTACTTTCTTATTCTTTGAATGGCTGAAGACATGTGATTGCTTATCCATAGCAAACATTACAAGGACCCCATTAATTATCTATTATGCACAGATTTTGCTGCCTATAAAAAGTTGCTAATTCAGTTTCAATGAAAAACATGCAATGATAAATGACTGGCCTGATTCAGCAACACAGAATATGATAAAGGTTGTGCCAACTATGAACAACAAAGATGTTTTTGTCATACACCACAATGCTACAAACTTTCTCATATGCTTGTGATTCAATGTTTTAATTTCCCATGGATTTTGGCTACAATCAGCACATAAACTTCCAAAACATGCTGCCACACTAATAATGCTCACCTCTTCCATTCATGCTTAGAGCTTTGGCTATGCCTCATTTTTGACTGTTGTTGAGAACTTGAGAATCTGTTAAAAATCTTGATTAACGGCATATGCTGTCGTAAATGCTGCATTTTGGGTGACAAGCCTGTTGAAACGGGATAAACAATCACTATCCACACGATAACCAAGTATGACGGGAACGGTGGAGATGTCACACAACGAAATAAAATGCTCCCATTAGTGCCGTCGGCTTTAGTAGGGCTTTTGTGCCCCACATGGGTAGCGACAGCGGTGCCCGCGATAATAAATGATGCCGTACAAGGCCCTCTAAAGCTGCGCTGCCACAAACAAGTTCCCGTGTGCCTCTCGTCCTATTTTATCTTTAGAGCGTCAGATTAACTTCATTATATGCTACCATTTCAAAATAACCCGACCATCCTCGAGAATATTTGGTACGTGTTTTGCAACACATCCTCGAGAAAATTTAGTGCGTATCGCAGCTACGAGGGGCAACGGTTTTTAGTACAGATAGTGCTAAAAGTGTCTGTTACGTAGATATAAATACTAAACAGCAGGGAGCTAGAATCGCTTTTGAACTATGGTGGGAGTGAAAAATTCCATCGCAAAAAGACCGTGCGGGAGTGAAAAAATCAGTTCACAAAAGATGGAACTAATGAACTCGTGACTGATGCTTCAGAGAACAAAGACATCTATTTCAGGTTGGCATGGACCCAATATCACGAACCTGACAAAACTATTTCGTTTTTTAACATTTTAGGCCATTAAAGTGAAACAGAATACATTAACACGCGCTCGCGGGGGGGGGGGCAGATTGACCCCCCCCCCTGAGGGCTTTTCCCGAATGGTCTCTGAACGGCGCGGCGAAGCCACGCCCAATTTTGCATAGCTGTAGCAAATTGCATAGCGGGTCATTTGGCATACAAATGTTAGATGTACCTTGTAAGGTCGCTGACCTTTGACAGGTCAAAGTCAGCCCATAGTTTCAGCGGAGGCAATTTATGGGGAATCGTTCAATCTGATACAACAACGGAGTGTTTGACGAAGACATACATCCCTGAGATGCTTTCTTAGGCACCACAAATATTGAAAGAGCAAATTACGTTGTCCTAAAGCCAGGTATGCTGGTTAGACCAAGGTCAAAACCAACCTGATTTATCACTCTAGGGCTCGCCGTATGGCATAGTTTCTGGTGCTCCTTTCGAATTTATTGACAGCAGGAACTGCATTATACATCTTCAGTTGACTTCTTAGAGGTCAGAACAGGCCATTGACCTAAGATGACCCGGGTCGAACGTTCTGTTTTAGGAACATACCGCCTAGCGTAATCTTTGTCGCTTATTCAAATGCAAAACGAAGAGCAGTCTTGAACCATTTTGCTCACCATGACCTTCAACGGGTCAAACAAGGTCAATGACTTCAAATGGGCTTGTGATCTTTTGCTCAGAGACAGTTGCCTAGGTCCTGGGGGCGTTTTGGAGACCAATCTGGAATTTGACCTTGTTTGACCTTATTCAACCTGAAGGTCATGACTTAGGAAGCTGAAACCTTAACCTAAGTGAGGTCACATATAGGTCAAGACACGCTGTAAATTTGATGTTTCTAGCTTTCTTAGTTCCCCAGATCTCAGAAGGAGAGTCAAATTGACCCCCCCCCCCCCCCCCCACCCACCCGAGCGAAGGGTATCTAGCCGGCCAACCGGACGCATGTTAATGGATAGTAATTTCGTGACAGTATAATGAGCATAACAAATTATTAACACCAATAATTTGATGCTGCACTTTTCAATTCCTTTCCACAGGACTTTCAAAACAAAACAAAGCAAAGGAATTCAACAACAAAATAACAACAGACAACCCAACAAACATCAAACACTCAAACAAAAAACCATAGAATCCTACACATCAGTCCATCACTAATTCAAACACAATAGAAATGCTTCTGGGTTCTGTTAAGATGGGGTCAGGGAAAGCAAACATTTTGCCACTGTTCCTTACAAAGCAACAATGCTTACCCCATGACAGTAGCCTATGCCTAACCTAAAGAGGCCTTACATCACCTATAACATGTCTGTATCACAGCAGCAGTTGTGAGCTACTGATTCTTGCACAATTCCTATTGCCACTTGCCATGCACTTGATCAACTTAACCTAACTTAGATATAGATTTTGCAACTGCTGTAGAAGCTGTTTGCATGCACAAAAATACCTGCCGCTTCATTTACACACTAAATGGACCATGCCCTTTCATTCTATACTGAAAACATCGCGTTGAGAACATTTTCAGTTGCTTCGAAAAAATGATCACGCCCAAAATTGTTGGTCATGACCCGGTGATCAAAAAATGTAGTCAACAGGTGGTAAAATCGATTTACGTCGTTTACAAGCCAGAGCAGCCTTCTATTTTCATTGGTTCAAGACACATGAGTTTCGAACGTTTTACTACTAAAAAAACGACGGTTTTCAAATTCTGCACAGGTGTCGCGTTACATCTGTTTTGATGCACAAATGTCTTCCCGTGCTATGTTGTGACATAAGCTGTCCAGTGTCGATAGATTGTCAGTTAGGTACAACCAACGTGACATTTTGTTGAAAAATGGCCATTTCGTGCAAAACGCGTCTACCGGCACAGAACATGCGTCCGCTTTGCACTCGTGCTGAATTTCATATTGGCCCTCATTTGAGACGAAATAGCCTCCGTTTCTGAATTTTGACTTTTGTCGCAACAAAGTGGCTGCGGCGAGATTTGTGTTCACTTGCATGTTGACAGCAACGTTAATTAATATTTGTTCCACCATTGTGTATAGTTTGCACCGGCAATCTGCTTTCAAACGGAGCGGGTCTCAGAAACAAAACCATGGAAATTGGCGAGCATCAAAAACGCTGTATGTTTCCAGTGGTGTAATCATGTTTTTTATATGTCATTCGACGCGTAATGGCGCGGCCAATACGATGGTGTAAATTAAAAAGCTAACGGATGTATTGTTTTTAAGTTATTTCAAAAAAAATCCCTCAAACGGCGCTCGATGCAGATATTGCAATTGCTGCAGAAGCTGTAGACATGCACAGAAACACTTGCCGCTGCATTTACACACTAACTGGACCATCCCCTTTCATTCTTAACTGAAAAAATCGCGGTTGGATAATTTTCGTTTTTTTCGAAAAATGTTCCCCCCAAAAATGTCATCACCCGTTGATCAAAAATGTTGTCAAGATGGGCTAATATCGCTTTACATCGCTTGCAAGTAAAACCAGCCTTCTATTTTCATTGGTTCGAGAGATATGAGTCTCGAACGTTTTACTACCCCAAATACTACCCCTTTTGAAATTCTGCACAGGTAATGCGTTACATCTGTTTTGACGCACAACTGCCTTCCCGTGCCATGGTGTGGCCTAAACTGTCCAGTGCCGATAGGTTTTCAGTAAGGTACAACCAACGTGAAATTTTGTTCAAAAATGGCCATCTCGTGCAAAACGCGTCAACCGGCACATAACATGCATCCGCTTTGTACACGAGGTGATTTTCATGGTGGCTTCATTTGAGACAAGAAACGTACGTTTCTGAATTTGGACTTTTTCGCAACAAAGTGGCCGCGGCGAGAGTTGTGTTCACTTGCATGTTGACAACAACGCCACTCAATGTTTGTTCCACCATTGTGTATCGTTTGCACCGGCAATCTGCTTTCAAACGGAGCGGGGCTCAGAAACGAAACCATGGAATTTGGCGCGCATCAAGAATGCTGCATGTTTCCATTAGTGCAATCATGTTTTATTATAAGTCAGTCGACTCGTGATCGTACGGCGAACACGATGGTGTAACTTAAAAAATTAACGCATGCATAGTTTTTAAGTTATTAGAAAAAAAGCACTCCCAAACGGCGCTCGATGAAGATTTTGCAATTGCTGCAGAAACCGTAGACATGCACAGAAACACTTGCCGCTGCATTTACACTAAATTTACCATGGTCTTTCATTCTGAAATGAAAAAACGCGTTTGGAAAATATTCATTTTTTCGAAAAATTCTACCCCAAAATTTTTGGTCATCACCCGGTGATCCGGACCGGACACCGGACACACGGTGTAGTCAACAAGTGCTAACAACGTTTTACATCGTTTACAAGTAAACACAGCCTTCTATTTTCATTGGTTCGATAGAAATGCGTTTGGAACGGTTTTCTACCCAAAAAATGGTCGTTTTCAAATCCTCCACAAGTGTTGCGTTACACCTGTTTTAAGGCACAATTGCTTTCCCAAGCCATGGTGTGACATAAACTGCCCAGTGCCGATAGGTTTTCAGTTAGATACAACCAACGTGAAATTTTGTTCAAAAATTGCCATCTCGTGCAAAACGAGTCAACCGGCACAGAACATGCGTCCGCTTTGTACTCGTGCTGAATTTCATATTGGCCCTCATTTGAGAGGAAAAAACGTCCATTTCTGAATTTTGACTTTTTCCGCAACAAAGTGGCAGCGGCGAGATTTGTGTTCGCTTGCATGTTGAGAACAACGCCTCTGAATGTTTGTTCCAAAATTGTATTCATTGTGTTCCAACAGATTTTAAGTTACACCATCGTGTTCACCATGCGATTACGCGTCGAATGACCTATAATAAAACATTAATGCACCGCTGGAAACATACAGCATTCTTGATGCGCGCAAATTTCCATGGTTTTGTTTCTGATACTAAATATCGAAAATTTTCCAAACACACTTTCCAGTAGAATGAAAGGGCATGGTTTATTTGGTGTGTAAATGCAGCGGCAAGTGTTTCTGTGCGTGCAAACAGTTTCTGCAGCAATTGAAAAATATACATCCAGTGCTGCTTGAGTATGCTTTTTCGAATAACTTAAATACTGTGCATGCGTTAATTTTTTAAGTTACACCATCGTGTTTGCCGTGTGATTACGCGTCGAATGATTTATCATAAAACACTAATGCACCACTGGAAACATACAGCATTCTTGATGCGCGCAAATTTCCATGGTTTTGCTCCTGAGAGTAAAAATTGA